TGCAACAAAAAGAATAAAATACTTAGGAGTATATCTACCTAAAGAAACAAAAGACCTATACATAGAAAACTATAAAACACTGATGAAAGAAATCAAAGAGGACACAAACAGATGGAGAAATATACCGTGTTCATGGATTGGAAGAATCAATATTGTCAAAATGGCTATACTAACTGTTGCTTCTTGACTTCCATACAGGTTTTTCAGGAGGCAGGTAAGGTGGTCTGGTATTTCCATCTCTTCAAGTATTTTCCACAGTTTATTGTGATCTACACAGTCAAAGAATTTAGCATAGTCAATGAAGCAGAAGTAGATATTCTTCTGGAGTTCTCTTGCTTTTCTCTATGATTCAACAGATGTTGGTAATTTGATCTCTGTTTCCTCTGCCTATTCTAAATCCAGCTTGAACATCTGGAAGTTCTTGTTTCACATACTGTTGAAGGCTGGCTTGGAGAATTTTGAGCATTACTTTGCTAGTGGGTGAAATGAGTGCAATTGTGCAGTAGTTTGAACATTCTTTGGCATTACCTTTCTTTGGAATTGGAATGAAAACTGACCTTTTCCAGTTCTGTGACCACTGCTGTGTTTTTCAAATTGGCTGGCATTTTGAGTGAAGCACTTTAGTAGCATCATCTTTTAGGATTTGAAATAGCTCAGCTGGAATTCCATCACATCCACTAACTTTGTTCTTAGTGATTCTTCCTAATAGTGAATTCAATTTGCTGTACATTCTTCTGTCCCAAGAAGAAATCAACACAACATTGTATATCAACTATACTCCAATAAAAGTTAATTTAAAAAAAAACCCTCTATGTATTTGAATGTCTCATGAGAAGCAAAAACCACTGGTGTGTACTAAGAAGTTGCAGTCAATAATAGCCACATTTCCTAAACTTTGGCTTTTTCCAGTTGCTTCCTAGAGCTGTATACTTGAATGAATGTGGTTTACCTTTCACATTTCTCTTAGAAGAATTTTACCAAATGTTTAAATACATAACATAAACCATAAGCTTCTTTGCAGGCCACCTGTCTCCTAGTTGTAAACCAATGCCAAATATTATGCAGAACTCCACTTCAATGAATCCATTTCTGTATTAAGATAATGCTGACTGCCATAACAAAGGAGCCCCATATACCTCAGTGGTTAAATTCAATAGGAATATATACCTTATATGAATAGGTGGTAGTGCAAGTTTGGAGGAGGTAAACAGGTTCTGTGCTCTTCCTGCCCTCCTATACAGGAGATCCTTAAGAACTGCTGAGAGCAGTGGGCGGGCCCTCAGAACAGTCCCAAGTCTGCATAAAATCTGCAGTGGGTTCTCCTTATCCACAGTTCTACATCTGTGGATTCAAACCAGATCATGTAGGACCAAAATGTTTACTGTTGAATAAAATATCCTTGTATAAATGGACCTCTATAATTCAAGCCCCTCCTGTTCAGGGTCAACTGTAATTCAACTTGCTATGTAACAGAAAACACATTTCTTTATCATAAAAGAAGTCATCCAAGCATCTCTTTAATACCCCATTTTAATTGCAGTAAAGACAGGCATAAAGTCTCGGAGGGCCTGACATCCTGACCTCATTTCCACCGTGTTCTCACTCGGTCTGCTCCAGGCACACGGGCCTTCCAGACGTCCCTAAATGTCCTCAGACAGGACAGGTACAGCCTGGCCTCAGGGAGTTTGCAGTGACCACTGCCTCTGCCTTGACTCTTCTTCCAGGTATCTGCATGAGTAAGTTCATCATTTCCTTTCATTTCTCCCAAATGTCACCATCTCAGTGAGATCTGCGTCCTCTAGTTCCCCACAGCTAATAACCCCTGAACTCTGAAATCCACTGTACCTGCTGAGGCATGCATTAACACCAGGCATCAAATAGTCCCTGATGTCTCTGCTACAAGGCAATCGGCAGGGCTGTACTTTCTGATTGGCCCTCATATTGGAATGGAACCATGTGATGAATTTTTGCTGGTGACCTGAGAATGGGAATGAGGTTTGGCTCCTCCTGGCCAGGGTAGTCAACTATGTGGCCATAATTTTCTGAGTTCTTTTCCTCTGACATAACAATGGCATGACCTAAACCATGGGGTTTCTAGCCCTTTTAACCCATAGCCCTTTAACCCATTCGTTATCTTTACTATTTATTCTCTTTTTCATGGCAAGATTATAAGATTAAGGAGTAGGGATCTTTATCTGTAGTATTCATGACTACACCCAAAGTCCTCAAAGCGATGTCTATTATATAATAGGTGTTCACTGAAAACTTATCAGATTGCTGAATGAATCAAAGTGAGTCCTAAAAGTATATTCTGCTTATGAAGAAATCACTTTAAAAAAAAAAAAAAGGACATGAAATGGGGAAGAAAAGGGCTCCAAGAAACAGTTGGTGACAGTGAAAAAGTAAAGCATAAAAGTTCAGTCTAAAACTGAATGCACACACATACATATACACAGATTGTATAGATCAAAATATATAAGTATAAAAATAGTGGAAATAAATACATGAGTATACTTAAAGAGTCTATTTTTATGTCTGTAATCATTTGTGTGTGGGTGTATATATATACATATATATATTTACTTCTCTAATTTTACATATAATTTATATGAATATAATATACATATATATATATTTACTTTTCTAATTTTACCAAGTTATAAATGATTAATGCATAACATCTATATTGAGCCACCTGGGAAGCTCATATAGAAATAAAGTCACACATAATTATCTTAGGCGCTTCCCTGCGGCTCAGGGGGTAAAGCGTCTGCCTGCAATGCAGGAGACCCGGGTTCAAACCCTGGGTCGTGAAGATCCCCTGGAGAAGGACATGGCAACCCACTTCAGTACTCTTGCCTGGAGAATCCCATGGACAGAGGAGCCTGGCAGGCTACAGTCCACAGGGTCACAAAGAGTGGGAAACGACTGAGCGACTGGCCCTAACTAATCATCTTCAACTACTTAATCTCCTCTTCTTCCTTTCAGTAAAGGGAATCCTCTAGTTTTTTTGGAAAGAAAGATACAATATTTCTTAGTTCCTGCAATAGTTTAACTTAAACATGTGCCTAAATTTGGCAAGGGATAGGAGCAGAAGTATTGTGTGCGAGGGACTTCCAGACCACCTCTTTAAAGAAGTTTGTCCAGTATTCTGCATTCTTCCTTACCACTGGATGAGAAATGCAAACACAGGAACAGAAAGCTGAATTTGATAGATCTGCCCCACCATATCTGGTTGATTATCCTCTGGACTGTGATACTGAGAGAAACCAAATTCTAGTGTATCTTACACACTATATTTTACAATCTATTAAAGAAGGCTGTGAGCTGAAGAATTGATGCTTTGAACTGTAATGTTGTAGAAGACTCTTGAGAGTTCCAGTCAATCCCAGAACAAATCAGTCAATCCTAAAGGAAATCAATCTTGAATATTCATTGGAAGGATTGATGATGAAGCTCCAATACTTTGGCCACCTGATGCAAGGAGCTGACTCATTAGAAAAGACCCTGATGCTGAAGAAGATTGAAGGCAGGAGGCGAAGTGGACGACAGAGGATGAGACGGTTGGATGGCATCACTGACTCGGTGGACATGGGTTTGAGTAAACTCCAGGAGTTGGTGATGGACAGGGAGGCCTGGCGTGCTGCAGTCCATGGAGTCGCAAAGAATCAGGCAAGACTGGGTGACTGAATGATAACAATAGTAACCTAGCTGTTATTCTAGACACTACTAAATCCAAGTAGGAGGCGGTCACTAGATTGGTTTATGCACTTTCATGTTTAGCATAAAGGTATGTATTTCACCTTTTCTTCATCATTCTATGTTAGTAATTATAAAGATTCAATCACAAATTGGCTCTTCCTTATCTAAAGAATAATACTGGTTAAGACTAAAACAAAATCATCACAAAATTTTTAAAGTCCTTGCCTTGTTATTAGGCAAATGTAGCACTTTAATATGTATGAATAATTGCATGAACTTATGTGCATCATTTTTGGCAACAGATTTTCCGCAGTTGACACAAAGATGCCTGGGCAAAATTTGATAATTAGAGAAATGTGATATAAAGAAATCTATATCTTATGTTGTATTCATCAACACCCAATACAAAAATAATGAATGTCTGTATAAAAAATAGGAAGCTTCCTTCATCACTAAAGAGTAGCTTTTCAGGCAATGATCTGAGTTTTACTTAAAACATATCCTTTGTTATAGTTTAGTAAAAACATGGGGTAATGTGCATGGGGAATGTTCTGTAAAGGCAGAACCAATCCATATTTTGTATGATTATATTAGTAAATCTTTATTTTAGATAAATTTGGCACAAGGTATTTCCAATGAGTAGAACAGGGTATGATTCAATTGGTTTTGTTCTAAAAATGTATAGCTTCAATTATTTCCTGAACTCTGTCTATAATGATTTGCATTCTATTGTCCCTGCTGTTCCTTGACACCTACCATAATATAATCATGTCCCTCTAGTTTTGTTCTATTTCTTTTCTTTCCTCCTCTTAATTACCCCTTTTGTACCCCTGGTCTATGGTATCTGTGTCTCTAATACATAGAGGTACTAATTTCACAACCCCCAAGGCTTGTCAGGTTAAAGATTAATGAGCAGACTATACCCAGAGGCTTCAGAAAGGTTAAGCATAATTACAAATGGGTATTTTATGCAATGCTGGAGATGTGCAAGCTGTTTTTTTAAAAAGGGCAAGAAAAAAGGTAATGAAACTTATGGGATTCATGTCAACTATTGTATCTCAAAAAGAAGGTCTTGTTAAAATGAGAAATTAACATGCTAACTGAAAGGGATTGTTACATTCTACCCTTTGTTTTATTCCTGATTAAAAGACACACATCCACGCACAAAACCATATGGTAGAATTAAGTATAATCACAAGGCTGTTATATGATTTGCTTTTAATTTTACTTTTTTTCTTTATTATGAAAAGATACTTTTTCATTTACAATAAAAAAGAAAAAGTTACAGTTTGAAAAAAATACAAGACTGGAACACTGGAAAAATTAAACAGCATTCAAAGAAGGAATATGTCATTTCCAGTTGAAATTTTATACTCACCACGAAAAGAGCTATTTTCTGTGGAAAAATAAAGCTTTTTTAGAGGTCCACTTGCACAATTATTGTAAATTATAAGCTGAACATCTGGCCATCCCAGCACCATGGGGACAGCATTAGGATTATAGTAATTAAAAGAAATCCAGTCAGTGTTTTACTAATTATAAAGTGTTACCAGGGTTAAAACATTTGTGTTTAAAAGTCGGAAAGCTGTTGGCTTAATTGGAGGTGCTTTTCCCCAAAATGTTGCAGAACAAGGGAACATGTTAAAATTAACTTTGCTCAAAACAACAAAAAAAACCATAATGAGAATATTGATCTCTAAATGTTGAGTTGATAAGTGAGGATTTTCTGGTAGCAAAGAGATTAGACATGAATAGTGTTAATTAATTTCCTTTCAGATTATTCAAGTTCTTTCCACTTGTACACTAGATTCCTCAACTTCCTCCACCAACCACTTCTCTCTAGGGGTTGGAGAGAAGTGGGTTTCCTCAGTTTGCATCAACATTTTTTTCTCTCTCCATTGAAATATGGAAATATGGAAAGTCAGAGATGAACATGAAAATTTCCATCTCATTTAAAATAGGGGAAAAAGTGCTTTCTTGCCGTCACTGTTTTTCTGTCTACCACCCTATTTTCTTTATAGGAACATTTCCTTAAAGCACTTGTCTGTTTTTTCTGCCTCACATGTCTTCCTTCTCAATCTCTTTTAAATTCATGTCAATACAGCTTTCATTTCAATAACTGAAACGGCTGTTTGTTAAGGTTATTGATGACCTTCCTAAATCCGGTGTACAGTCTACTGTACTCTCCCCGTCCTCCTCTTTGACGCTTAGCGTGTGGCGAACACCCACTGCGGCACTTGCTTTTTACAGCCAGCCCTCCGTATCTGTACCTGCAAGTTTTACTTGTATAGATTCAACTAACCTCACACTGAAAATATTTGGGGAAAAAAGTCCAAAAATTTCCAAAAAAGCAAAAGTTGAATTTGCTACACTCTGGCAACTATTTACACAGTATTTACATTGCATTTACAACTATTTACATAGAATTTGCATTGTATTTACAACAATTTGCATAGCACTTACTTGGTACTAGGTATTATAAGTAATCTAGAGATGATTTAACATATACAAGCGGATGTGCAGAAGATATGTGCAAATCTACACCGTTTTATAAAAGCGACTAGACCAAACACAGAAACAGACTCAGACTTTGAAAACAAACGTATGGTTACCAAAGATGAAAGGCTGGGGAGAAGTGGGGAGAAGTTAGGGATTTAGGATTAACATTTACCCACCATTCTATATAAAATAATCAACCGAGACCTACTATATAGCACAGGGAACTCTATTCTAAATTTTCTGTAATAGTCTATAATGGAAAAGAAACTGAAAAAGAATGGATATGTGTATATGGATAACTGAATTACTTTGCCGTGTACCTGAAACTAACACAACAGTGTGAATCAATGGCACAATGTAAAATTAAAACTAGATTAAAACAACGATACTAGAGCATTCTCAGGTTTTGGTATCCATGGGGATCTTCTGTGGATACTGACAGATGACAGCAATACCTTCCTGCTGGATACATTTTCCTCACTTGACATCCAGGACATCCGCAGGTAACTGACTCTACACCCACCACTCGGCTTGTTCCCTCTCAGTCTCCTTGTTCCTAATCATTCTGAACTCTTATGGTTGTTTAGGAATAGCCCAAGATCATCCTTGAACATGCTCTCTCTTTCAGAATTCTTTTCCTTGGGGAATTAATTCAGTTTCAATGTCATGTGTATGCCGATGACTGATAGACTAGAATTTTTACTGCTAACCAAATATCTATATTCTCACTCACATTATACAGACCCTTTCTAGTTAAGTGGGCCCTTTGGATTAATCAACACCAATAG